AATTAACTACAATATATAATTTAAAATATCACTTAATTAAAAAAATACACATTTACTCACTATATTTTCTTCAATTCTTCTTCCTCCTCCTCTCTCTTCTTTTGTTTCTTATATAATTGAATAGTGTTTATTTTGTGCTATATTTTATGATTAAATACTCATCGTTTGTTTATTATTATTATTATTGATTTGGGTGCTTTTACATGATTTCTGTGCAGAGTAATGACTTCTGAAAAATATGCTTAAAATGCATGAAAAATGCACTTTTTGTTCTGGAATCAAGGCTGAAACAGTGGGCATAAAATGATGACGTGGCAGTTCGTCAGCATCTTCCAGAAGGTCTAATCAGTAACGTCCAATCAGCAATTCTAAAAGATGGATGGACGGCTGGAGCATTTCAAGCATTTTAAATTCAAGTTTAGGAATTATTTTTTTAAGATTTAAGTTTAAACAATTATCTTTTATTTTTCAATACATTTCTAGGACTTTAGGAAGCTATAAATACTCACATTGAGTAAAACTTCAAACACATCTCGAATTAGCTTGTTCTTCTCTTTCTTTAAGTTTTATAAAATTTATTTCTTTTTCTTTTTCTTTCGTTTCTTTACTTTTACTTAAAAACTTTTATTTTTAAAATGCTAAGCATAACTTTTGTCATGCTAATTTTCGTTTACTCCAAGGGCTAAAGCAATGACTTAATTCCAACGTGAGAATGGAAAAAAAATACTTGAATAACTTCATAAATCCCTCTCAATTTCTTGCACTTATTTTCAAAAATCAAAACGGTTTCTAAACCAAAGATGGACTTTGCTCAGGACGTTGTTGCGATTAAACATGTGGGAGGAATGATCGACTTATTGAAAACACATTTTACTTCTTGGGAATACACTTAGCAAAATTGTTTGCTAAGAGAGAATTTAGATCGGAATTTGTTATTATTGAAAAAAATATAATCCGAGTAAGTCTTTTACGAACTTAACTGGTTCTTAGTCTACAACAATTGATGTTGATTAGATTGAATTCTAAAACTAGAATCAAAGGTTGCACTTGGGTATTCAATATATGAAACATAGTTACAAAGATTGATCCTTGTAGACAAGTAACCGACGTGAATCTCGAAGTAAAAACCACTTTCGATTATTTTTCTTTATTTATTACTTAAAAAAAATTATTTTAACACAAAACGACATGTATCAATAATCTTTTATAAAATTTTCCCACCTTCAACATCCCTATTTAAAACAAATATTACTAAACCCCTACCACATATTTATCTACCAATGCACGCATACATATCAACTAAAGTTTCCCCTCCTACCCAGTTGCATGGCTCCTACACTGCCTCGCCCTTGCCCTGCATTGAACTAGGCCCTGCCATGCCTCACGTCTGCTCATCTGCTTGGAATATTAGAATAGTGAAGTAGGATTGTGTGTGTATCATTTTTTTACTGTAGTGAAAAAAATGAATAGGGAATATACACCCACCAACTTTACTATAGCTAAAATTAAAAATTTTAAAAATTTATATAAACAGTGAAAGCGGTAGCTAAAAAAAATGAATAGTGAAGTGGAATTGTACACCCACCAACTTTATTTAAACTAAAATTAAAAAATTGATATGAACAGTGAAAACGATATGTATATTCAGCTTCTTTGTGTTTACTGTAGTTTTTATCATATATTAAAAAATAGAAAGACTGTAAAATTTTAAAAATTAAAAATTTAACTTACAATATATGGGTATTTTTTTCAAAATTTATCATATGTTTAATTTAGTTTTTACTTCACATATATTCAAAATTTAAAATAATAAAAAGAAAATGAAAATCGAGTAAACGAGATTATAAACAAATCGATAAACGAACTTGCTTGTAAACATAAACAAATTGAACAAACATCAATTTATATTCATTTATTTATTAAATGAACATAAGAAATTATTTATACTCATTAATTTAATTTAATAAACAAAAATAAGCAAACAATATATATATATATAATTTATCAAACAAGTTATTCATTTACACGTATATTAATAATAATGTAACCTTTATGCAGTCTTTTTTTTAAAGGAATTTATGCAGTCATTTTCACAATGTGTGGATGCTGTTTACCTGAGTTAAAACACATATAAATAAACAAAAGTGGGATATTTTATTGACATCTTCCAATGAAGAGGAAATTGAAGGTCTGAATTTGATGAATGTGCCACTGTCAGACTTGTACATTTCTTCTTCAACCTAAAATTATGGGTCAGGATTATAAAATGTCCAAAAACTTCTTGTATTTCTAACCCAACTAATCCAAGCTACCACATTCATACGGTTGAAATCGATTAAGTTTTTCTTCTTTCTCGCAAAATACTGTTTCTTTATACAACAGCTGTTGAATCCTTATTAATGTTTTAGCTGCGGCCACCATGAGAATCATTTGCGTTCTCTTTCATGCTTCTCTGTTTCAAAGAAAAACTCCTCTCAACTATATCAACGTTCACAACTACCGGGGGGCTTATGCCGTCACTTTTCACTAGCATAAATCAAAGCCGCCACCGACAACTTCAACGCAGACTCGATTGTTGGTAGAGAATATTACGGGACTGCTTACAAAGGGACTACTAATGATGGAACCATAGTTGTTGTCAAGCGCTGGCAAAGCGAAAGTGGATCATATCTAGTGAGAGAAATGCCAAATGAGGTACGTTTTCTTTGTCAGTTGCGCCACCCGCACCTTGCTTCTCTCATCGGTATTTGCGAAGAGGGAGATGAGACTATCCCGGTCTATGAGTACATGAGCAGAGGGGCATTATCCGATCATCTCTACGGTGAGGATCAATGACCGCTTCTTTGGAAACAAAGGCTACATATATGTGTTGGTGAAGCTCGAGGATTGCATTACCTTCACACTGATGCAAAATATGCTCTATTTCATGCCCAGATCACCAGCCGAAACCTTCTTCTGAATGAAGAAATAGACGATTTCGGGCTATCGAAATTGTGTTCCTTTTGCATGTCAAAAGCTTTAAAGGTTCGGAAAGAGTAGAGAATGATGAGTACTTCTGGGTACATGGCTCCGGAGTATGCCATGCATGGGGAACTTACAGAAAAATCTGATGTTTTTCATTTGGGGTGGTTTTGTTCGAACTTCTTTTTGGCAGACCACACTATGGCAGCTCACTACCAGATGGAAACAATATCTGCTTGCTATGGCCACGGAATCTCTAATTGAAGGAACCATTTATCAGGCAAAACTTTCGAGATAATGTTCTGAAAGAAATTAATTCACGAGTTAATACATTCCCAAGATTAATTGCTCAAATAAGGTGAAATTCACAGTGTTGGCCGTAAGTCGCCATGCACTCCGGGCGACCTTGTAGGTCGCCATGCACTCCGGGCGACCTACCCTTGCTCAAACAGATAGAATGAACATGTTGCATGGCACATGCACGTCCCAACACATAGGTCGCCATGTCCTCCGGGCGACCTTGTAGGTCGCCATGCACTCCGGGCGATCTGCCCTCGCTCGGCTTCCCTCGCATAGCTCGTTCGGTTGCCCTCGGATGCCCTCACATAATTCGTTCGAATGGCCTCGGATGCTCTCGGATGGCCTCGGATGCTCTGGGATGGCCTCGGTCGGATGGCCTCGGTCGGATGACCTCAGATGCCCAGCATGTTGGGACGTGCATGGCACATGCAATCTCTTGTAGCTCGTCGGGAAGACATGGCGACCTAGTAGGTCGGCCAACACTGTCGATTTCATCTTATTTAAGCATTTAATCTTGGGAGTGTTTTATCTCGTGAATTAATTTTTTCCATAACATTATCTTGAAAGTTTTGCCCATTTATCATGCCATTGATCCATAACTGAAGGGAAGGATAGCTCCTGAATGTTTGAACAAGTATTTAGAGATCGCTTTCAGTTGTGTCCATCATAAGGGAAACGAAAGGCCAGCGATGGGTGAGGTAGAGGTCACACGAGAGCTTGCCTTGGAGCAGCAAAACAGAGGTGATGCTGAAAAGGAGGCCATCAATCCTTGTGGTCAATATATGTATGATGAGGCCCCCATCTCAATTGACGCTCAAAAGCTTATGTCGATCCCAAGCACTCTTTCATTGTCGCATGGTTCATGGAGGGACGAGGACAGTAATTCTTCTGTTTAATCGTTTAGTTATCCGAGGTTATATTTTATTGATCAGATTTAGATCATATTGTGACTGTATTAGCTACTGATTTATGACAAGAAAAGAGCGCCTTAAGTAATCATGTTTTAATCAATTTCATAAAGTTTTTGTCGATACAAAGAGATGGCATGGTAACTTGATAACAAGAGAAGGGTTTATAGGATGCTGTTTTCGAAGAATAATGGTATAAATAAACTCTGGATTCTTATCAAGTCGAAGCTTACGGTTCTGCATTTTGCCACTCCATCAAACTAATAAGGTTCAAGTCATCCATTGGAGGCTTAAAGTTTAATGAAACCACACGTCATAAAGGGTCCACACATGTCAACGATCAGAACTAGATTGTCGTTTACTTTGAAATCTCAATACTTTACGCACTGCAGAAAATTATCAGGAAAGTTAATTTCATAAAATCCTTTGTCTCAATCATGGCACTTGAAGGATTCCAGAAAGTTGAAAGGTAATGCTCCATCCCGAGTTTGAAATAGTCGTTAAGATTTTGGCTTGAAAATTTGTTCGTTTCTTGGTTATGAGGAGAATATCGTGACATACAGGTTGACAAGAATGTCTTTCTTTTTTTCCCTCTTGCAGGGTAGATGTTTGATAATTTGTTTGAATGGGATTACTATTCATTTCGAGCTGCATCGTAATAATCAAATAAAGCACGTTGGCTTCTATTAATCTTAGACAAGTTAGGCCGCTGCATTCAGAACAGAAAATATTAGAATCCCGAAGAGCAGCTCACAGTCCTCTCACTACAGAGAGGACGAGGACACCGATGCTGTCAAAAGGACCACTCCAGGTATGGTTAGCTCTCAACTGTGATGAAAGATTAAATGCTTTCGATTCTTAATTCAAATGTCATACGAATCCGATAAATTGCATGAGTATGAGCTTCACACATGATGTTTAGCTGTATCAACCTAGCATCCATGACAAATAAGCAACTTATCCGATAGTTAATGCAACACCAACAGGCATAAATCAAGATAAGTCTTAACAATATTAGCAAGAAAACTAGATCTTAATGGAGAATCCTGCAATGAAAGAACCCTGCATCATCCTGCGCCAGTTCGCTTTCAAAGCATCAGTGTGTATATAACAGCATTCCTGAACATTCAAACACAATTTTCAGTCTAATAAACAATAGATCAATTTATTCATTCTGCTTAAAATATTTTGAATTATATAATTGAAGATCAAAAAGCCACAACGATAGAAGTTTGCTGCAGATGAAATACAAAATTGTTTCTCTCTGGTGCTCTTAATCCAGTTGTCTGGTTTCTTTGACAAAGAACCAACTGTTAAAAGTTTTGTATTTAATGATTAGCTATTTATAGATCTCTAGCACAATGCCAATAATGTGACTAACTTATAAATAGCACAATGCCAATAATGTGACTAATAAAAGCAACCTTAGTAGTACTAACTACTATTTGATTTTGAGTTGGACTGAAAAAATATTTTTCGTAAGGCAACCTGTAGAAAAATATTTGCAAGTCTGGAATAAAACTGGAGCAGTGAACTTAGAAAAGGTCTTGCATATGACATTGATAGCAAACATGCAAATTAAATCAACTGTAACAGTTAAACAAATTAACAACAATAGTAAAGAATCACTAACCGTAGTTTTTATCTTAGTTCAAAAATGCAATTGAAGGCACATGTTGGACTTTGTAGAAATCTTCCCCATCTTCCTCAGCACTAGTTTTGAATGCTCTTGACATCCACCTAATCTCTAGTTCTCGGAGGGTAGTGACGAATCTCATCCCATCTGGAACCATCTTCAACTTGTAGCAATCAGAAATACCCAAGCGGTTAAGAGTAGGCATAGATCCTTCTTCAATAGTCCACTCCTGAAAATTGGGCAACCCTCGAAGAAGTAAAGTTTTTAGTTGAGGGAAACTGTTCTTAGAGCAAGTCATTTTCTTTCCAATGAATACTTCCCATCCACTCAGGTACTTTAAGCGAGGCAGCTTCCCGAGCACTTCCATTGGGTCTTCAACAAGTCTGGATCCCCATAAAGTTAACTTGGTGAGAGATGAAGGGAATTCATTGTCTCGGGGTAAGTTCTCTATTCTTCCTTCTACATGCAGCTTGCAAAGGCGAGGACAGCCTAATAGTAGTTTCCGTAAATCAACTACCTTATCCGGAAAAGAAAGGAGGTCGGTTTTTAAAGAAAGGGATGTCAGGTATGGTAATGTCTTATTTGGATGTTCAAATATTTGAACAAATGATTCAAAGTGTCTAGGGTCATTCAGAACAAGTTTTCGGAGGTTGGTTAATTGGAGAAGATCCTTAACATCACATTTATTAGCAGGAAAATTTACAAGAGTCTGCAAATTGGTCAGATTGGCCAACTCTAATTTATCCGTGATATTCCCACACCACTTAGGAAGATATAGATGTCTCAACTGCTCCATCTTCCATAAAATATTAGGCACTTGTACTGTCGATTCCCACGACACTTTGTCAATTGTCTGCAAGTTCAGAGTCTGCAAGCCAACCAGATTGACCAAAGATTTTGGTAACTCTCTTATACGTGTTTTCTTCAGACTTAAAAATCTCAATTGAACTAGTGTCATGACGTCTTCTGGTAACTTCTCCTCAAGTCCTTTAATTCCTTCAAGATCCAACACTTTAAGCAATTTGAATTTACCAAACACAGATTTCAAAAGGCGCCTGTTACCTATTCTATGTTTTTTTGGACTGAAAAAGGACAAGGACCTAAGGTTGGGGTTTTTCTGGTATTCTGGTAAAGCAGGATCATTGTCATTCTGATCCAAATGGATCGCACATCTATGAATTCTGCTTGCAGAATTTGGTCTAGAATTCGTGAAAGATGGAAAAACACCAATAATATGCATAAAGTTTTCCTGTTTGGCCTTCAACAAGCATAAATCACGCATAAGGTCGTGTAGGCGACAAGTTTTTATTGTTCCTGTCGAACCCTTCACTCCCACCTGAACCATAGACCTATTTATTAAGTCATGTAAGTAGCTTTTTGCAACTTCCTCCATGGTTTCGTTCCTTTCATCGACTTCCACTTCATCTTGTGAGGATACAAATCCTTCTGCAACCCATTGTCGAACTAATTTCTTGGTTGGAATTTCAAAATCTTCTGGGAACTGGCTCAAATGTAAGAAGCATGGTTTCAGTTGGTAAGGTAATTCATGATAACTTAAAGCCAATACCTCAGATAGTCTAGCTTGTCGTCCCCGCTCTTTTGATCTTGCCAAGTGTGACTTGATATTTCTATGCACCATATCCCACTCATTCGGTGTTTCTTTCGTTGCCAAAAGTCCTCCAAGCACAATAATGGCCAGTGGTAGACCTGCACAGCTTCCCATCATTTCCCTCCCTAAATTCTCCATATCTTTGTCAACTACAAAGCCTGGAAAACAGAAATCAAAACAAATATTAATAATTCTATGTTTCCCAGGTGCTTTATAAATTATTAGTTTGGGCTTTGACTATTTGTTTAGGGTGGAATCTTCATTAGGATGGATATCCTAAAATCCAAGCCTTCTTACTCCCGTTCATCAGAAGAGGAAAGAAAATATTATCTATTCTACTTATCATCATGCTTCATGAAGAAGTAACAATTAGGGAAGTTTCTTGTGCGCGCTCTGTTCATAAATTATACAGCTAAAGGGAGTATGTACTTACACATCCAGAATGTGTGTGGCTGAATTATAATACTGCTAAAGGGAGTATGTACTTGCATATTTGGGGATGTATCAAGGCATAAGTTTTTATGCTTAAAATTCCTCAAGGATTCCATCAGTTGCCTTCATCTTCGATCACTAAGCTCTTCTAGGTGTTTGCTTTTATCTTGTTGATTTTGATACTAAATCGTCATTGATTTGCTTTAAATATTTGTGAAGTTACCCATGCATGATGGTAATCCTGCCAAATGCTTGACTTGGAATATAAATCATAACATGGCTATTAGCTTAGTATTAACCTAGTTGATGCACTATGCTTCAATTATGATCTGTTTGAGCTAAACAGTTCAATTAAGCCACTCCCATTGAACCATGCTAAATTTTTGTTAAGCTACCCATAAAGGCTAGTCAAAAGCCTTGCTATTTGCAATAGTTAGGTAAGAAGTTGTGAAAACCCAATTTTTCCCTTTATCCAAATTCAGTTATCCTATACTACCGCACCATTCCATTTTACAAACATTGGCTTAGATTAGATAAGAGAAAGGTATATGCTAAGCTGATGTTAGTTGGACTATGTTTTTGCAAAAATACTCATGTCCAGCTACTTTGTCTACCACACATTCGAGCATGAATACGAGGATATAGTTCTCTAGATGTATAAAAGAACTTTAAACTACCTGGTTTGTTTTTCCCTGGAAATGCTTTCTGTTGGAATAGCTCCCAACTCTGTTCTTCATTTAAACACTCCGGTTCATGAAGGAATCCAATCAGTTCATCATCCAAACCTACTTTCTTATTGCGGGTTGTAAGCAATATCTTGCTGCCAACAGTTGTTTCAACAGGAAAAGCAGGGCGCAAAGACTCCCATGCCTCACTGGTCCAAATGTCATCAATTACAATCAAGCATTTCTTCTCTTGCTGAACTTTGTAGAGCTTCTTAGCTAACTCTTCATGGCTCATTCTCAAAATCTCTTCCTTCTCCTCCTTGGATGGGGTGATCAGCTTCAGCAGAATTCCTTCCCAAACTTCTCGTTCTCTGCATTGTTGAGAAATATAAGCCCAAGCGAAAGCTTCAAAGTGTCTCCTGATATCTGCATGATGGTATAAGGTCTTTGCTAGGGTGGTCTTTCCCAGACCTCCCATGCCACAGATAGACACGACTCGGCAACGTTCTTCGTGAATTAACTTCACCATCAGCTCCTTTATGTTTTCTTCAAACCCAACAATACGTTCTTCAACAACATGGGAATATGACCATCGGAGCTTCCTTTGCCGCTCCGATGCGAATCCATCCCCTTCTTTTCTTGGTGATATCCCATATGTCTGTAATCTTCTTGTCAAGTCAGAGATTCTGGATGTGATCTTCTCAATCGCCGAGGCAAGTTTATGAATTTCCAAGCCGTGGAGGACCGAGTTTCGGATTCTTCCTCCTTTATTGGATGCAAATTTGACAACGAAATTGTCGATCACATCCTCAACATCGTAAGCAGTCTCTCTTATATCCGAAACCCAAATTTTAACTCTTTCATCCTCGTCTTGTCTTTTGTCTGCATCTTTGAGGAAGCCCTGCATCCACTTTAGCTCGGCTTGCATCTTCCTGACTTCATTGTTAACTCCCAACAACAGATAGGCCTCTTGAACTATTAAGCCATCGAGCCTTTCCAAAAGGTAAGAAACTACGGCTTCAGCCATGTTATTTCTCTTTCTGGTTTTGCACCTAAAACAGTTCCAAGGACAAACAATTCAGTGCAGAGGAATTGGAGTTGAATCAAAACGTTGACTGCTAAAGTGAATCAAGTTATGTTCTTTGGAAATCAATTTTGCAAAAGAATGATAATCAAATGTGAAAAGTAAGAAAGCAAGGAACTTAGGAAACCAATAATTGAGATCCAATAAAGCAAGTCAAGGGTCGTCGCTTCGCTTTTCTCAGTAAAAATGCAAGTGGACAAGATAGAGCAAGTAAAAAAAAAAGAACAGTTTTGAGTCAGAAAAGTCTATTGCTGTTTATTAAAAATGGTAGTTGGGAGCTGCTTTTATTTGACTTGTATTCATTCCATCTCTCTGTCTGAAAACAACATTGCAGCGAGTACACTAAATTCGGAGAAGAACCTGTGATTTTCTTTCTGTTAAACATTCGGAATAAACCTTTGAAAATTATCAGCTTTCCCTTGGATGATACCCTTAAACAAACTTCTCTGTTCATAAGAGCCTCCAAGCAGGGCCGTCTCGTATATTTTCAGAACCCAAAAGAAAACTTAAAAAACCCTTTTAAAATGAAAATATATTTCATTATTTTAAATAATTAATTTAATGTTACATTTTATCAAAAATATATTCTTTTTGTTATTTTATTAAAATATACTTTAAATACAATTAAAAGAGAATATATATATATATATATATATATATATAATTTGAACCCGGACATGATATAAAGTTTGATCTTGAATAATAAATAAAAAAATTGTATATTTATTTTATCGTTAGATTGAAATTAGGGAAGAGTAAAAATTAAATAATATTTGATAAATTAAAGAATGAGACATGAAAAAAATAAAAAATAAAAACGTGATTAAATTTAATTCAAAATTGAATGAATCAATAATAGAGACGGAAGAAGAGGGTTAAAAACAACAAAAAAATATGAAATTAAAAAAAATTAAGAACTCAAATAATAAATATAAAAAATGGAGATCTTAATTATAAATATAAAAAATTAGGGACCTTATTATAAATATAAAAAGTTGGGGCTCTAAACGGTTGCTCAGGGTGCTCCCCTAAGAGTCGACACTACTAGGGGTGAGCAAAACTCGACTAAACTCAAAAAATCAATTTTTTCAACTCGAATCGACTTCAAGTTACAATTTCATAAACTCGACTTGACTCGAAAAATTTCAAATTCAAATCGAATTGTAAAATGCAACTCGAATAACTAGAAATTTTTTGTAATTAGTGGATTTATTTTCAAGATTAAGTTGAGTCATTGGATTTTATAGGATATATTTATATTACATATGAATAAAATATGTAAAAATATATTTGTATTGTATATATGTTTATAGAAATTCACTTAAATTGGAATCAAATAATATTATAAATATTCATAATTAATTTTATAAACTCGACTCGACTCAAAATTTTCAAGTCAACTCTGAGTTGTAAAACATGACTCGTCAATTCGAATAACTCAAAAAAATTTGACTCGACGTGACTCGATTCGATCGAACGCTCACTCTCTTGAATCGTACCTCAAGAAGCCTTTTTCCTCCAAACATGTCTTCAGGATGACTACAAAACTACATGCAGACTCGCATGATATTATAAAACAAAATTCAAGATATGGTTATCATATCTAGGGGTGTGTAAAGAATCCGTTCTGACCAATTCGATCCGATGATCTGTTGATTCGGTTCAAAAATTCGGATATCCGATCCGTTCTTTAACTTTCGGATAATTCAAATCGAATATCCGAGAAAAAATCGGATAATCGAATCATATACGGATCATCGAAATTTTAGTTTCGGACAATCCAAAAAATTGAGCCTTTAAATAATTTATTTAGGCCCAATAATACCAGCACCCCCTCCCCACCCCTACCCCAGCGCCTCTGTTCCTGCTCCCGCCAGCATATGTTTTTTTTTTTTTTACTTTTAAAGTATTTAGACTTTAAATTATATTTTTAAGCCTATAAAAGGGATATTAATTATTTAGTTTAAATTTATTTAAATGTATTTTGATAAATATATATTGGAGGTATAAAATATATTATATAAAGTTATAAAATATTAGATTTAAATTTAATTTTTTATCAAATTAAAGTTTATATTCAGATCTTAGATATCCGTTTTTTTTGGATCGGATAAGGATTGTAATTTTAGTGATCCGAAATTTTAGGATATGATAATATTCGTCTCCGAAAATGCACACCCCTAATATCAGTGTATCCCATTAATCTACATATAACTATCATTACCCTATATTTGACACCACTAGAAGCCACTATAAGTATCACAACTACTATTGATAAAAGGGTTGGAATCATACGCGACCTAAACCAATATTCATATTTTTTTTATTTTGACTCTTCCTCTCTCGTAAATAAACACCGGCCAACAATCGTTATTTCACTGATGATAATTCTCTACTAAATCATAAGAAGTGAATCGTCAATTGTCGATGAAACAAATTTATTCTATCAATATTTCTTTTCCTCAAGTTTTCAGTTAAACAAACAAAATTCAAGCCAATGGTTTTTTTGTTAATGTGTTCTTCCATCTTTCTCTGAAGTTTTGAAGCAGATCAAATCCAAAATCAGACAAACAAAATCCAAATACTCTTTAAGAGATCCGTTCCAGATGAACTATGTTATTAAAATTCACTAGCCGAAATCAAAGTTGCTACCAAAAACTTCCATAAAAACATAATTGTAGCTGAAGGTGATACGGGATTATATATGGTGGGAAGATCAGTGGTGTATTCTATTCTATGATTTATATATGGAATTCATTTAAATTATTAGTCTCTTGAGATTGGTTCACATTATTTAAAGGGGTCTAACCAAACAATCATATTCCCTTGCTATTTATATTAATTTATAATTTTAATCTCTACACACGAACTAACTTTATCTTAGTGGTTAAAGAAATCGTTGTTGTTAGGTGATTGTGTGTTCATTGTCAAATGGATGAGAGTATTTAAAATAAATATACTTTGCAATCACCTTAAGGGAAATCTAAAGGGGTGGAAGACATACAAACTACTATATATATATATATATATATATATATATATATATATATATAACAAGATTGATCGGGGATTTAGGAGTTTTGAAATATACTGGTCGTATTTATGATTCCGATAAGGAATGCACTGTCAATGATAAGTGAAAACTGGAATGTTAATGGATTTGGAACATCCTCTCTTGTTTTATTGCTTCTTGTTTCGTCAAATATTCCTACAAAGTGATCATTTGTACAAACGTTGGGGTAATTTTGTTATTATACCATATATATATATATATAGATAATGTTAGATATGTCTCATAAATATACCGGTAAAGAGGACAAAGATGGAGCGGAGCGGAGCGAACATCATCTGTCCTTACAAAGAAAGTCTCATAGTGGGGTTACGATTATGTGGGTTGGGTGCGGGGGTTGCCCCCGTAGTACGGTACATGGTTATTTTTGTAAATATGTACCAGAGTTTATTTATTATAAAGGAGATGTAACCAAAACCTATGAGATATTGAATGAAAAATCTAGCGTCGCCCAAGGCACCGAGGACGTAAGTACATTGTTGAACCTCGTTAAAATTCTTGTGTTCTTTTCATTTTCTTTACTCAATTATTCAACAATTGGTATCAGATGTCAGGAGCCAAATTCGAAGTTGCGAAATTCGATGGTTAAGGTAACTTCGGATTATGACAAACAAGGGTGAAGGATCTGTTGGCGCAGCAAGGGATCCTGAAGGCTTTACGACCTACAAAGCCGACGTCGATGGAGGAGGAAGAATTGGGCAGTGAGTGGCAGGAACCATACGATTATGTTTGGTGGACGAGGTTATGTATCACGTCATGCATCTATTGTCTCCAGATGAAATTTGAAAGAGGTTGGAAAGTCAGTTTATGTCCAAATCCTTAACGACTAAATTGTATCTAAAGCATCGGCTGTATGGGCTGGAGATGCATGATGATTATGATTTGGCGCAACACGTGAATGTATTTAATCAAATCATTTCTAATTTGGCTCGACTTGATGTGAAAATTGAGGATGAAGACAAAACGATGATTCTGTTGTGTTTGTTGCCTCCCTCTTACGAACACATGGTGATTACTCTTACATATGGGAAAGAGACTATCAAAGTTGAGGAGATTACTGTAGCCTTGTTGGCTCACAACCATCGGAAGCGGAATACGGGGGAAAGCTCTCAAGCTGATAGCTTATATGTCAAGGGTAATCGAGACCGTGGACAGAAGCCAGAGAAGACATGGTCTGGGAAGCGGAATTTCAGATCCAAATCTAGGTATAAGAAGACAATTCACTATTACAAGTGCAAGGAGGCGAGACATATGAAGCGAGACTGTCCGAAGTTGAAAAAGCAGACTGATGAGAAGTGTGATGACTTATCCAAGTCTGTGAATGTAGTCGATGATGATAATTCTGATTGCAGTGAGGGTGATATACTCTCTATTTCAACGACTAAATTGACGAATGCTTGGATTCTTTATTCTGGATGTTCTTATCACATCAAGCCAAATAAGGAATGGTTTTCGACATACAAGTCGGTTAATTCTGGTTCTGTTTATTTGGGTGATGATCGATGTTACAATATTGTTGGAATTGGTGATGTCAGAATTAAGATATATGATGGTTCTTTTCGGACGTTGTGTGGTGTTCGGCATATCCCAGATTTGAAGAAGAATTTGTTTTCTTTGGGTACTTTGCACAAGAATGGTTTTATCCCTAAGGCTGATGAATATAGGAAAACCATTCGGATTGCTAAAAGAGCTTTCACTGTGATGAAAAGAAAGATGATTGCAGAGAATATTTACAGATTGTTAGGGAGTACCGTTGTAGGTGGAGTTCATTCTGTTGAGTCTTGTGATGATACTACCAAACTGTGGCATATGCGTCTTGCTCATCTTAGTGAACGTGGTATGGCTGAATTACATAAAATAAATCTGTTGCATGGTGTTAAAAGTTGCAAGCTTGATTTTTGCAAGTATTGTGTTCTTGGTAAACAGACTAAAGTTCGTTTCAAGACTGGGAAGTAGACAACTGAAGGGATTCTTGATTATGTGCATTCTGATGTATGGGGGCCTTCCGCGACATCGTCTTTGGGTGGATTAGGTATTATGTTACTTTTATTGACGATTTTTCATGGAAAGTTTGGGTGTATTTTTTGAAACAGAAGTCTGACGTTTTTTAGAAGTTCAAGCTGTGGAAAGCTGAGGTAGAAAACCAAACTGGACGAAAAATCAAGTGTTTGCGGTCTGAAAATGGTGCAGAGTACACAGATTCACAGTTTCTAAACTTCTGTAAGGAGCATGGGATTAAGATACATTTTACAGTGCGCAAGACACTATAACAGAATGATGTTGCGGAACGGATAAACAGGTCGTTGAATGAAAGAGTCAGATGTTTATGGTTAAATGCGGGGCTTCCCAAACACTTCTGGGCTGAGGCTGTTAACATGGCGTGTTATCTTATCAATAGATCGCCAAGGGCATCATTGGCTAGGAAAGTTGTAGAAGAGGTATGGACTGGTCATGATGTTGCTTTTGATTACTTATGGATTTTTGGTTGTCCTGCTTATGTGCATGTACCTGCTGATGAGAGATCCAAACTTGATGCAAAATCAAATAAGTGCATTTTTCTGGGTTACAAGACAGGTGTATAAGGATTCAAGTTCTGGGATCCAGTTGCGAAGAAAATTGTGATCATTAGAGATGTTGTTTTTGATGAACAGTCCATGTTACAGCAGAAGAAAGACATGACAGTGGTAGATTTCGAGTAGTTTCCAGTTGAGAAAACATAAACTTCTCAACTGACTTCTAGTGGTTCTGCTACGATTGATTTGCAGGATTATAGTCTCGCCAGAGACAGGGTGAGACGGATGAATATAAAGCCTCCGAACAGATTGGGTTTTGAAGACTTGGTCTCTTTTGCACTTATTGTTAGCAGTGATGATCCAGTTACTTTTCATGGTGTGTTACTAGTCCAGAAAACGAAAAGTGGATGGTTGCCATGGTTGAGGAGATGGAGTCTTTGAATCACAATCGTACATGGGAGTTAGTTCGCCTTCCTGAGGGTAAGAAGCCTATTGGTTGCAAATGGGTGTATAAGAAGAAACCAGCAATAACAAAAAAAGAGGGGGAGAAGTTCAAGGCTCGTTTGGTAGCAAAGGGTTTTTCACAACAGAAAGGAGTTGATTATGATGAATTTTTTTCTCATGTGGTCAGGCACACTTCAATCCGAGCAGTACTTGCATTGGTGGCTAGTTGGGATTTGTATTTAGAGCAGATGGATGTTAAAACTGCTTTTATGCATGGTGATTTAGGGGAGCAGATCTACATGCAGCAGCTTGAAGGTTTCACTCAACCTGGAAACGAGCATTTAGTTTGCAGATTGAAGAAATCTTTGTATGGGTTGAAACAGTCTCTGCGACAATGGTAGAAACGGTTTGACTCCTATATGATCAAGATTAACTACAAGCGATGTGAGTATGATTGTTGTGTCTATCTTAAGAGCCTTGATGATGGTTATTTTATTTTTCTGTTACTGTATATTGATGATATGTTAATTGCTGCGAAGAACATGGATGATGTTATTGGTTTGAAAACTTTATTGAGTCAGAAATTTGATATGAAAGATTTAGGTGTTGCAAAGAAAATTCTTGAAATGAAAATTTATAGGGATAGAGACTCAAGGAAACTGTGGATATCTCAATGGGGTTATGTTGAGAAAATGCTAGAAAGGTTTGCGATGAGCAGCATAAAACCAGTGAGCACTCCATTGGTGAATCACTTTAAGCTTTTAATCAGAACAGTGCCCTAAGACAGATAAGGAAACTGAAGTTATGGCAAAGGTTTTATATTCTAATGTTATTGGCTGCTTGATGTATGCAATGGTATGTACCCATCCTGATTTAGCTCATGTTGTTAGTTAAGTTTGTAAGTACATGTCTAAATCTGGTAAGCAACATTGGGAAGCAGTCAAGTGGATCTTTAGGTACTTAAAGGGTATTGTGGGATATGGAATTGTTTTTGGTAGTCAACGGGATAATCCTTTGGTTGTAGGATATGTGCAATCAGACTACGCGTGTGATTTGGATAATAGAAGATCTACGACAGGGTATGTCTTTACTCTTGGTGGAGAGCCTATTTATTGGAAATCTATTGTTCAATATGTTGTGGCATTATCTACAACTGAAGTTGAATACATGGCAACGGTTGAAGCTGCAAAATAAGCTTTATGGTTTACTGGTTTAGTGAAGGAGTTGGGTGTTCAGCAAGGTGGAGTTCAGTTGCTTTGTGACAATCAAAGTACTATTCACTTGGCTAAAAATCAGGTATATCGTGCTAGAACTAAGCATATTGATGTAAGGTTTCACAAGATTAGAGAGTTGGTTACATATGGAGAGATTTTGTTTAAGAAGGTACATACTGATGAGAATGTTGTTGATATGTTCACCAAGCCAGTTACGATAGACAAGTTCATGCATTGCTTGGACTTGTTGAGTGTTTCGAGTTGTTAAAGAAGTAAGGTAACCCAACCCACATTGAATGTTTCCTAAGGGGTAGGATATTCGCCAAGGTGGAGATTTGTTAGGTATGGCTCATAAATATACCGATAAAGAGGACAGAGGATGGAGCGGAGTGAGCGGAGCGTAGAGAATATCATATGTCCTTACAAAGAAAGTCTCGTAGTGGGGGTTACGATTATGTGTGTTGAGGGAGGGTGCGGGGATGCAACCCTGTAGTACGATATAGGGTTATTTTTGTAAATATGTACCAGGGTTTATTTATTATAAAAGAGATGTAACCAAAATCTATAAGATATTGAATGAAAAATCTAGCACCGCCCAGGGCACCGAGGATGTAAGCACAATGTTGAACCTCGTTAAAATTCTTGTGTTCTTTTTGTTTTCTTTACCTGATATTCAACAGATAATTTGAATTTTTTTTCTTGAATTTATGCACAATGGACCATGTCAAACTTTGGATTTTACTTTGGTTCCAATTATAAACACAGGCCTGAGCGCTAAGAAAACGTACAACGTGGAGTCGAGAACGACAAGGTAAGGGTCGATAACATCATAGGTTTAGGGAAGCTTTAAGCACTGCTTCTTGCCCCTAATTATAGAGGCACAACTGTTGTAGGCCATATGTCCTAACTACTTTTTAGTGCTTTTTCTGTTCGAATGCATATTGCCTACTTCATTTTCACAACTAGAGGACTTTCTGGGTGGTGCAACCTTGGAACCTCGACAATACAGAAGCATCCAACAAGAAACAATGCCTCTGAACTTGATAGTGTGGGGTAGTTCTACAGTCGTTGGCAAATGTGAATACCCTCCCGATTGATTTGGAATAGACAAACGAACATAGAGAAAATAGCTGCAAAAGTGGGTGGTTGAGAAAAAAAAATAACCCTAATAAAATATTAGTTAATTAAAAAATTAACAAAATGTCATGTCACCACATAGTTAGAGAAGAAAACGATAAAGGATTAAAACAATTCAAATGCTTAAAATTAAGTGAGTAAATTGAACACTTTAAAACTTTTTTTTTTAAAAAAAGAACTACTTATATGGTTTCATTACACATACAAAATCAACTCATAACTATAGTCCTTATTAAAAAAAACCTCATTAACCTAGATGGAGGAAAAAATGTGACACATGATCTAGTACCACGTTCATACACCAGACCAATTAATACCCTATAACCCAACAACCATACTTGCAAACCATCTTTACACCAACACAATATTCGAGCCCTAAGCCTACTGCAGAATCAAACTATTCAACACATAAAAGCTGCAGCAGAATAAGACTTTGCAAATAGACTTTAAAGGATTAAATATTTAGAACTGGGATCATAACACCAATGACCTGCAAAGCAAAGCCAATGTAGAAAGAAACAATATCTCTTCCATCATCACATATTTGCCCGAGCTGCATGCTGGACGAATTGAAATTTTGCACTCACCCAGAAACAAATAGGACACACACAATGCAGACTGGGAGCGATACTGATATACAACCTCAGACCAAAACTACATCGCATATCATCCGTAATCACTTCGGCAGCTACCCCTCAAATAATCGAACCTTTGGCTAAAATATTTTTGAAAATCGAACCAACTCACTCACAACAATCCCTTCTTTGAATCGCCGTTTGCTGGCCTCCATGTTATAAGCTTCTCAAATACAACCTAGAGTATTCTTGTTTCCACCAGTCAATAAAATCGCATCCTCAAATAGCTTCTCCTCATCCATCAAACAATTATTGAATATGATTTTGTTCCTATTCAACCAAATAGATCAGAAGAATCCGAAAAACTCATAATTCAAATCGGTTTTATCTCCACTTTACCTAATAATTATTTATCTTAACTGTTCATTTTGAATCTTATTTCCTAACATATTTTACGTGATTTATAATATTGATTTAATTTAAATACATATTTGTGACAGTAATTAGCATTTTTATTATAAATGTCAGCAACATAATAATTGTTTGTATGTACATCTTATGGAATATTTATATAAAGATAAATATCTCGTTTACTCGGTATGAGAAAACTACAGAGCATTTTTTCCCTTTACACTCGGATGAAGTATCTAGTATCCAATATTTGAGTGTTAGTTAAACTCTCATCTCCCATTATCATTCATAAACTCATGGAACACACTCAGATTTGATTCTATCAGCTCACCTCGACTAATACTCCTTCCCACACTGCTAATTGTGCTCCTTGATTCTGACACTTTCCCACCAAAAACACAGAACAACTCTTTGTTATCGTTATTCGTGGTCGTAACTCTGCTAGCTCTTTTGCACATCAAAGGGCTGGTTTGGCTCGATGACGCAATCACTTCATCGCCTCACATGTCAATGTTTGTGTCCCTCTCAGTTGCCTCTTGCACTTGCAATGCAAATTCTATACACCAAACCACATCGTTCAAAGTAGGTCGCTCTATTCCCACGTCTCGAACACAACTCTCGGGAGAGCGCCCCAAATTTTTGTAGGCACAGGTGAAATATCACCCATCAAGCAGGGGTCCATGATGTTTTCAAGGTTTCCTGTAGCTTGGAAAATTTTGCCCCCTCGAGCCAGGTTGACTTGGTCTTTTGGTAGCCCTGGAATCATGGACGGTCGAGCGCATAATACTTCGAATAGAACCACACCGATAGAGTAAACATCATATTTCTCGATCAATTGTTGTCTTCTGTAATATTCAGGATAGACGTACCTGACACTTCCCTTTACTACAGTGGTGACTTGGCTTTGAAACATGGAAACAACTTCGATGTCGTTCACAAAGGCCGAAGAGTTAAACGATGGCGAAAAGATGACATTCAGCTCCTCGGTTTCCAAACATGGAATCATAAACTCTTTGAACAACGAGGCTTGTTGATCATATTCACCAGAAAGAGTTAAAGAGGCACTGAAATTGCTGAGGAGAAGGTGATGATTGGCGGTAACAGATAGGAAAGAAGCAATTCCATCAAAGCCAAAGTATTGAGTTGAGTAGAAATATAAACGAAAGAATTTAGGGCCAGGTGATACTTGAAAGCTATAAGTGAATTCATCATGAAAAACTCTAGCATTCATATAAGGAACTTGAGAAACAGAGTGATCTTGCCTGGAGGTTATAGACGCCATTAAAGCACTATCAGAATTAGAAGCAACGAATTTGGAGCGGTCATCGATCACCCATTTTTACATCCATCTTCTGATACCGTACTCGGCGAAGACGATTATGCACCATAGTTGAGGATAATAAAATATGTTGGGGTATATGGTAGTGGGTAGTTGCCAGCTGAAGTGAGAGAGAAGAGGAGATGAAGGTAGAAAATAAAAGGGAGCATGGAACTAAAGTGCAAATATCCCAAATTTGTTAAGGATTAGAAAAGGAGAAATTTTTATGCTTGGAATGGTTAAACCGAGAGCAATTAAGAGTTGATGAAAATGGTTCAGCTGAGCTGAACCAAGTCAAATCAAGTAAACTAGACATTTGTGATGCACATATTTTGATGATAAGGTGATTAGGATCGGACTGTCCTTGGTTTTCACTGGTATTGCTTGGGGATGGGATGTGACATTTACCCTTTGAAAAGTACTCATATATCTCATTCTGTTATGAACCTTGAGAAATAGAGAAATTGAGATCGAAGAAATAAAAGGATTTAGAAGAGAAGAAGGGAGATTATAGAAAATGAATTATTCATTCATTCATCATATAAGTTTTTTTCTCCTCCAGTATATGGTTTTATTTTCAATAAAATGAACTATGGCCACTATATTTTTGACAATTGAACAATGTAGTTGCTAACTCTAACAGTTTCCTTTGCAGATGATAGCTAAGATGTTTTCTCCTGTTGGCTGCTGACTGGATCCACTTCTGAGCCCATGTCTTTTGTCAATCTAGGCTTCAATTCCCCTATACGTGTATCCATTTCCAGGTGCTTGTCTTCTGCCTTAGTCTTAGGAATTGAAATCCCTAGTTCCTCTATTCTTATTTTCACAATCCCTAATCCCTCTTTCATTTTCCCCAATTCTATCACCTCGATTCTGAACTCCTCGTCTTGTTCTTCTCTTTCGTTCGTGACAATACCCCCTTCATGAGTATATCCTTATCCAGAAGCAGAATAGTCTTATAGGATAAAATTTCAGCCCTCAGCACATACGGCTTCAACATGCTAGACTAGGTCGAGAAATCTAGTACTGTCCCGTAGGGCAAGATTCTTTGTGTAGGTGTGTGGGTGTTTGTATCCAGTCCAGGCTTAATAAACTTAAAAATTTTCTAAGCAAACTTTCTTAATTTGTCATGACATTAATAAAATATTTACTCTCAACTTACTTTAGTTTCTTTACTTCTGCTACGAGGGGAGTCATCCCATCACTTTACCATCCCACACTCTAAATGAAAAGAAGCATACCTTCCACCCCTGAGCTAGTCAGGTAGAGTCATCCCGTGACTACTTTTATTCACTCATATGCCATGGCATAACGGAGTGTCCCTCTACAGGTATACCGAGGCATTTATTTATAACTTTATCATTATTTTTCAATCTTTTTTTAACAGGAGTATTCATCATTCAAAGTTTTATGCCACGGCATTTAAGAATTCTCTTATAAAAAATTCCTAAGTTTCTCAAGCATAGAAAACATACAATCGTGTTTTCAAGGATTTCAAAGAAGCAAGTCCTAGAGTTGTTTCTATCATCCTCAACCAGTCATGTACATTATATCATAGCCATCAAGAATTCATCTTCATTGGGCATCCTTAACTAATTCCAGAAAACTATTCAAACATTTACTAATGTCATGGCATATTTATTTTACTGATACTATTATGTAATGATACGAGAACCCTACTTTCCCCAAACTTGAGAGAAGTATTGTCCCCAATTCCTACTAAAACGAAAAAAATGAAACTACATGCTATGAATGCAATTCAATGCAAGGTACCTTAACTCTAGGCAGGTGGTGGTGTAGTGGTTGCGCGACGAGTGCGCTTTCTCAGTTTGGCGGGGTTGGAATGTTCAGAGTCAGAGGCGGGTGCAGCCGGAGGAGTACTGGGATCTTCTGGGACAGTGGAGATAGGGGGCTCCTCACACTTAGATTCCTTCTTCAGTCAACGTCGGATCCTACGCAAGGGAGCTTGTCGTGGCATCTCGGATTGGGACTCATCAGTTGACTCGGTGGGCTGCAGTACTTCAGGGTGTGCTTCTTCCATAGGTGCAGCAAGTTGCGGTATATGAGGATGTTCGATCGCCAGAGGTTCAACGAATTGTGGTGGGGTCAACTGGATGAGGGTCAACTGGTTTTTTCGCTTCACCGGGCTGGTGACTTTCTTTACTGGATGAGTGTTAAGTAGCAGCTGGAGCAGGGTGGGGTGCTTCTGCAGATTTCGAGGTATCCTCATTCGTTGGCACAAGTATGTCAGGGAAGACATGAATGGTAAAGTTTGTGTGCGGAAGAAACTCCATCAAGGCGCTGGTGAGAAATTCATCTCGACATTTGGCATAGGCAAAATATGTCACCAGTTTGTTGGGCAGCTGCCCGACATGCTCTTGGGTGCGCTGAACTGCCTGCTCCAAGGCATCTGAAGTTGCCCTGGCATACGAAGATGGTGAAATACGAGATGTGGACGCCTCTTTTTCTTTCCCCTTGGCTGTCTTCAGTCCCAACAACATAGGGATTTTTGTTTTGGTAATGCCAGCAATACCAGGTAAAATCTCATCAAATAATTCTTCAGGAACCTTCTTTTTACGGCATAAGGGTGATGAGATTCGGAAATACCAAGGCACTTGTAGGTCGCTTTAGGCACAATTGAGCATGTGCAACGATAATTTTCCCTACATCGTTGGTTCGCCCGAATATGATTGAGTGCAGCAAAAGCATCCTCTGGCAGGACACGGTAGTGTTGTGGGAAGTGGGCAAGAGCTTGTGCTTCATAAAATGATTCCACAACTTCACCTGCGGGAGCAACCTCTCCTGGTCTACGATCCTTCTACTTATTTGATTCCGTTCCACTGAGTGTCGGGAAGACAAAGATCTTCCAGGATGCCTTGGTAAGTTTTGTTTTCAGCTTCTTGTGTGAAACTAGTATGGTGGTCTTCAGCAACCTGCAGTTTAAAGTAGCGATTAATGGCAGTAGGAGTAAAACGAATAGAATGTCGCGAACCATCACGGCATGCTGATTTGGCTTGGTGATATTGGAATAAAACTCCTTTACTAAGGTTGCGTTGACGACGGTGGGATATTTGGCAAATTTTTGCCATTTATGTTTGGTGACAACGTCTATCACCTTATTCCCTAAACCGACATCCTCCTCTTCGAAAAAGACAAACCTCAACTCAAAAAAGACACGATAGTTTTTTATGGTTTAGAACCGTTCACGGGCATCATCATCCACAAATCGTGGTGGCGAGGGTGGTGGGGGAGGACGTGATCGTACCATGATGAGAACACAAAAAGTAATAAGAAGAAAGCTTGGCTTGGTCGGCTATGGAGGTTTGGTTAAAGTGAAAGAGAGAAGAAGAAGATGAAAGAAAGTTAAAGTAAAAAGATAAAGTAAAAGTGAAAAGAAAATACAAACAAAATGAAGATTTTTGTGGGGAAATGTTAAATAAAAAGGTGGGGCCTGGGCGGGAAAGAAACAAAATGAATCCCCAACTCAAAAGTCAAAAAGGTAAAAATTTCCCTCCTTTTACTATTCAAGTTTGCCACCCAAAATTTCACAATCTTCCTCCACACACCTCACGTGCTAGCCATGTGGGATATTCCTTGCAACAAAAATAAAATAATTAATTAAAACAAGAGAATTAAAATAATGGCAAGACAAGAATAAATTATGTACAGAGGTAAAATTAAAATGTCACGACATCCTTAAGATGTCGGAGCAGTGTCGACGTCGTGCAAGAGAAGCGTTGACTTGTCACGCGCAGGTGGGATTCCTTGGTAACCCTTCAGGCGCTGGTAATTGACTTTAAAAATGGACCCATCATCCATGTTCTTGATATCAACAGTGACATACGGGTAAATATGGTGAAATTCGAACGGTCCCGACTAACGTGACTTCAGTTTGCCAGGGAAGAGTTTGAGCCTTGAATTGAACAACAACACTTTCTGGCCTACATGAAAATGCCATGGCAAAAGCATTTTGTCATGCCACTTTTTGGTTTTTTCCTTGTAAAGCTTGGCATTCTCATATGCATGCGCTCGAAACTCCTCCATTTCATTTAGATCAAGCAATTGTTTCTCCCCAACGAGTTGCTCTTCGAAGTTTAGCTTCTTTATTGCCCAATATGCCTTGTGTTCTAGTTCAACTGGTAGGTGGCAGGCTTTTCCGTATACCATCTTGAAGGGAGACATTCCCAGAGGTATTTTGAATGTCGTCCTATAGGCCCAGAGTGCTTCATCGAGTTTGGGAGACCAATCTTTCCTTCGAGGGTTCACCACATTCTCAAGGATTTGCTTGACTTCTCGATTGGACATTTCAGCTTGCCCATTTGTCTGCGGGTGATATGTCATGGCAATCTTGTGTCGCACTCCATATTTCTGTAATGCCTTGGCAATTAGCTTGTTGTCAAAGTGAGTGCCTTCATCGCTGATGATGGCTCTTGGGACTCCAAATCGAGTGAATATGTTCTTATGAAGAAACTTGAGCACCGTCTTAAAATCGTTCCTTGGCATAGCGATTGCTTCGACCCACTTTGAAACGTAGTCCACTGCAAGCAAGATGTATAAATCTCCAAAAGAAGATAGGAATGGTCCCATGAAATCAATGCCCCAAACATCGAAGAGCTCTATCTCCAGAATATTTTACAGCGGCATTTCATATCGTCTGGAAATGTTTCCAGTGCGCCGGCATCTGTCACACGCTTTGCAAAATGCATGGGCATCCTTAAATAGTGATGGCCAATAGAAACCTGATTGGAGGACCTTTGCAGCAGTCCTCGCACCTCCAAAATGCCCTCCACAGGTTGTTGTGTGGCAATGGTGTAAAATATCACGTTGCTCTTCTTCGGGGATGCACCGTCGAATCATTTGATCGGCACATTGCTTGAACAAGTACGACTCGTCCCAAAAATATAACTTGCCATCATGCAGAAACCTCTTTTTGCCCTGGCTATTAAGTTCATAAGGAAAAACACCATTAACAAGAAAATTAACAAGGTCAGCGTACCACGGAATTGCCGTGACATATAAAATTTTCTCGTCAAGGAATTCTTCTTTAATATAAAAAATGTCATGGCATTCTGAAATGTTCTCTAGCCTAGATAAATGGTCTGCAACCTGGTTTTCAGTACATTTCCTATCAATAACCTCTAATTCGAACTCTTGCAGCAGCAATATCCACCTAATAAGTCTAAGCTTGGCATCTTTCTTGTTCACTAAGTATTTTATAGCAGAATGGTCAGTGTGA